AACTGGAATGAGAAAAGATATGGGGAAAAGAGGGGGAGGAGAAGCAGTAAGAAACAGGCATGTGAAAGAAAGAAACACAGAACTAGTAAAATGTTGAAAAGAAATTGTTTTTTTCAGAGATAATGGTTGATGAATTAAAAAGGGGATTCTGCAGGGTGACAAGGGGTAAAAGAATATTTCTGCAATTAAAAATATTTAGAAAATAGGGTAATATAGATACTGATAACTCTTATTAAAGGGGGGGGGGGGAAATATGCTGTGGAATCCAATTGAAAAGATGTAATGATTAATGGTTTATTGGGAATTAAGATGAGGGAATAAAGGTATATTCTAATCATTAAGGTGTCACACTCAAAATAGTAAAAGAGGGGAAACCTGTACTTGTTCTTTTTTCTTTTTGTGTGTGTGTTAAAACTCGTATTAATCTAGAATTCATAAAAAAAAGTGTAATGCAAAAGGAATATGACAGACTAAAGAACCAGATAAATTAATAAGTTTAATATAGATTATTAAAAGCAAGGAGAGACATTGGTAACTTCATTATTACTACTATTAGGCAAATATATATTGTTTATTTTTATTTTTAAAATAAATATTAAAGGATTATATTTGAAATAATTGAAATGAAATAAAAAGATGTTTAGATTGAGATTAATGAAAGAATTTAGAATTAAACTTTATTATTATTATTATTAGGCAAACACATATTGTTTATCTTTATATTTAAAAATAAATACTAAAGGATTATATTTGAAATAATTGAAATGAAACAAAAAGATGTTTCGATTGAGATTAATGAAAGAATTTAGAATTAATGTGTTTGTTTCTCTCCTTACTGAAAATTTGGAATGGAAAAGATAATAATAGAATTAAGTATGCATATATCAATGTATAATTGCTGTCATATTTGTATGTAAAGGTGATGACCCGGAAATATGTTGTCCACTAAAAAGAGATTTTTGTTTTTAATGTGAAAAACTGAATAAAGTTTGTTAAAAAAACAACAACAATTCATATGTAAAGTTTTTCTGGCAAAATATTTCTTAACTCTTCAAGCAAAACTCGCTACCAATGAATACTTCATTGCTATTTGATGGTCTTTCCATACTTAAAAGGGTCTTTTGTGAAAATAAAGTCTTTTCCAAGAACAGTCAGTTGTGGTCTCAGTCATTTAGAAGAGAATTCCGCAATCTTTTTGGTTTTGTGGATCAGTGTGGGGGAAGAAGGGATGGTTCCACACTTGTGCAAATGGAGCACACCGCTCATCCACTGTTCACGCAAGTGGGGATGCGCTCATCTGCCACTGTTCACGCAAGTGGGGACATAAGCTCATCTGCCACTTCCATGGCCCAGTTCCAAACAGCTCAAGGCCCAGAGGTGGTCCGTGGCCCAAGGGTTGGGAACTCCTGGTTTAGAAATCTGGTTTAGAAAAGTTTTAAGTAACTTACATTGCATATTATGAAGAGCTAGTATTTAGACAAAACTCACAACAAAATTAGCTAATCTTGTATTTCTTGTATTTAATTTCGTTTGTGATTATTTGCTATTTACAGCCATCATGATCAGCCATCTCACTTAGTTTAACACTGTAGGTTGCATATATCCAGAAGTTATTTTGTTTTATGCTGTTATTAGGTCTTTTTAAAAATCAAACCCTAGAAAAGGCTGAAGAAGTTCCACTATCCTATCAGGATTTCTGCAAGATCATTTCCCACCCTTCATAAAAGTTTATAAAGGAAAATGTCATTGAAAGGAAGATCTCTTTTATTTTGTATGAATACTCATTCAGTTCAAATGATAAAAGACAGATATAAGCACGTGAAATTCTTCAATTCTGACTTTGATAATATCTCTTTGTAATTGTTATTATTTTGATATAAACATATTCATAGACCATTTCTTGTTTTTGAAAATAGTCATGTTATCTCAGGTTTAGATTTCTATACTAATTCCCAAATAATTTCTTTCTTTGGATGGGCATGCCATTACAATAAATTTCGATCCTAGTGAGTCTAACCATTCTTATAATTATATTGAATGATGGGCCTCCCAACTGTTTTACACCTTTGCACTGAACATATTTACTGAACATATTTATTCAGAACCTTTCTGGGTTCATGTCCCTTTGCTTTAAGTGCATTTAATCACAGAGGCCTTTATTGATGATAGGCTTCATAGTAGGATAATTACAGGTAATTCAAATATTTTTTTTATCTATTTCTCATTAAACCTATAATGAAAGTATCTTTCTATTTGCTGTTTAATGCTTGAGCATTTCTTGAAGGAAGATGGCTGCTGACATTCTCCCTTGAAATATACTATATTTCATCCATTTTGTTACCCACATTCATCCTTGTATGACTGCTTTTCTTCCTAATTTCTTCTTCTTAGATCAAAGTCAGTGTAGCACAGGGCCATATGTGCACCCCTTCACCTAAGCCTCGTTTCAAAAGCTATGCATACACACAAACTGCTTATGTCATGTCCTCTGACCAAAAAGGGATGATGTTCCCTCCGCAGGTCTGTCAATATTATTTTTTGTTGTGAATAACACTCTTCTTCTAATATGCCTGTGCTTGCTGTGGGAAATAAATGCATCCTTTTTGCTTATGTCCATTTTAATTTTCAGTGGTATTCTTCTTAGGTCACCAGATGGGTGACCTTGGGCCAGTCATTTTCGCTCTACCCAAGAAAGAAAGCAAACTACTTCCAGAAAATCTTGCTAAGAAAACTGTAGGCACTTGTTCAGGTAGTCTCCCAGAATCGGACACAAGTGGACCGGGAAAAAAAAATCGCAACATGACTAAAGCAAATTGTTCAATAACTGCAGGATAGCTCATATATTTCTGCATATATCTGTCATTATTATTTATCTTCTGTAGTCTTTATTTTTGATTGTTAAATACCTTTAATTAGTGACAGAAATCACAGCAGATCTGTTTTTCCTCTATTGTCTTACCCACAGCCATATTAACTCCTCTAGCTATATTAAATACTGTTTCCTCTACCCATTATCAAGGCTAATATTTCCCCATTTTAGAGTAAATTTACATTATTCTATTTCTTTTTAATTGCATTTTAAAATAAATATTTCTGTATGATGTGTAGTATCTATCTTTTCCTGAATACCTTAAAAGCATAATTTGATAGGCACCAGGTACCTGCCTGGTTTCCTGAATGGACAATTTCATTCAATGGAGAAGGGAGATGTGAATCTGCCTGGAGATCTCTTTTCTGTGGTGTCCCTCAAGGATCTCCATTTCCTCCATTTCTTTTTAACATCTACATGAAATTGCTGAGGCAAATCATGCATTAGCATTAGGTTTCATATCATCAGTATGATGATTGTTAGCGTTCCAAGCAGTGGTGAGATTCAGCTGATTTGCACTGGTTCAATAGAACCAATAGCTAATTTTTTGTGGAGTTCAGTGAAACGGCTAAACTGAGGGGCAGGAAGCCCTGCCATACCCTGTCTCGCTCCATGTGCCCCAATGAAAGGCAACGGCAGCCTGGCCGCTTCCCTTCCTTGCCCTCTCTGGCGCTGGAAGCCAACTGTCAGCCACACACCCAGTTGCCCATTCATTCCCCCCCCCCCCTGTGTGTGTGGGGGGTTTCACCTGGTGACATAGTCCACACAGGCCAGGAGCCGCCCTGCCATCCTCCATGAGTTTGAGATGCTGTTGAGGAAAGGTGCCAATGACTCCACAGGCCTCTCTCTCTCCTCCGCAGGCCTCTCCCTCTCCTCCACCACTGCCCAGATGCCTTCACTTCCCCAAGAAAAGTGGTCAAAGAAAGAGGATTCTATCGTGTTGAATGCCATAATTAAACCATAGCTTCTTAAGATGCCATCTCTGTTACTGGATAAAGTGCACAGTGCGGAAGCTCACTGCACTTGGACTGGGGTAGTAGGACCATCCAGGGGGGCACTTGTAATTCTGGCTGGGGGTGTGGGTGGCCAGGTGTGGTCGCACCGTGCATTGCCTCAGCGGGCTGTGGCGCAGTCCAGGGCTTGACTGAGCTGATGAAGCTGGTAGACAGCTAGCCACTTGAGCCACTGGAATGGAGGCTTTATCCCATCAGAGAGGGAACATCAAGGTTAGCTGGCTCAAGATAACCTACATTTTTTTATTCTTGAACAATGGATAATAGACCATTACTAGCAGTGTAAAATAAAATGCTTTTATTCCATTTTTAAAAAGTCTGCATACACAGGAAAAAATATTTTAAAAGAGATAGGTCTACTACTAAATATATCTCTATAGACCCATATCAGTTCACAACTATTATGTGGAACCTACAATAAGGGAAATTAATAAGTTTCCAGATCAGTTTAAAGTAATCATACAAACTTGTTTTATGGAAGTTGCAAATTTACCTGGAATGTGTACATTTTTGCTACCTAAAATAGAAAAAGAAAAAATTGTATACAGAAAGATAGATAGATGATAGATAGATAGATAGATGATAGATAGATAGATAGATAGATAGATAGATAGATAGATAGATAGATAGATAGATAGATAGATGATAGATAGATAGATAGATAGATAGATAGATGATAGATAGATGATAGATAGAATATATACGTGCATGCAGAAATGAGCCGAATACATTAATTGCCATTAATTTATTTTTGCAATTCATTCTGCTTTTCAAAAAATGGGCATCTGGCACCCTGTTTTGCTATTGGAAATACAGTGTGTCCTTATGTTCTCCATCAGATGTCCATTCACTCTATCATCTGCACTTTCAAAGAAGAATGTGTCAACGGTTGATTTCACTAGGCCCTTAAGCTTTACATCAGTTCTGTTGAGAATTAAAACAAACTAAATTCTGCACCAGTCAATTTATATCTTCTAAATATAAGATTTTGTTAAAAGAAATGTGTTTCTGGTTTGGACATTTGTAACTAAAATTCTCTGTATAGATCTTTTGAATGGGAAGGAAGAAAAGAACTTTTTTTTCCTTTTGCAAGGAAAATGTTTGGCCTAGTGTGTCATAGGCTTTTTCCCTCCATGAGGTAAATGTAGGATTCCCCTAATTATTTAAAAATAAAATATGCAGAAAATAAAGTCAACCTTCCTTACTAAATTTATCTCTCTCTCTCTCTCTCTCTCTCACACACACACACACTCTCTCTCTCATAAAAATGTTCAATATAGCATGTTTTGTCTTGTGTAAAAAATTGTGATGTAAATAAAACAAAAAAAATGATGATGAAGCTCCACTTTCCTAATAAAAAGCAGAGAAGTGTCCCTGCCATAAATTGTTAGTTTTATATCTGCCATTCATTAGGAAGCATGGAAGCAGAGACAGATATATTAAGTGCAAGGAAAAAAATACTGCTGTTGCCTTTAAAAGACAAGCATGATTCTGGCATAACAATAATAATGTAGAAATGTCATTGTTTAAAAATCCTAGTTTATTTGATCTCTAATTTAATTCTTGGTAAAGATAATGTTATAGGTTATACCGAAATGTAAAAAAAATGGAGGAATTATTTTAACTTACAACTGCATTTTTATAAATATTTACAATGTTTGTATGCATTAATGTAGCTTTGCATGCAGTTATAGTGTAACTGAATATACAAACTGAGCTCTCCACAATTCATAAAACAATTAACGTTTTTTATTTTTAACAAAACATACCTGTAACTAAAGCTGTGCATGAAGAATCTCTGATTACTTTTTTCTGTTAATATTTATGAGATGGCTTTGTACCCAATACCAATTCCAGTGCCTTTGTACAAAATAATAAAAATCTGTATATCAGATCTAATTTTAGGTGAAACTGATGCATTTGATTTATTAGTTATTAAATTAACATGACATTTCATTTATTAATCCAGAAAAAAGTATACTAGTAAATTGTTCCTTAAATACATTATTTATTTATCAGCATTTTGAAAGTCAAGAACAGAAGTTATTTGCAACTTCACCCATGAGTTCAGAAACAGACCTAGAAAGCTACCAAACTGCATTAGAAAAAGTCCTATCATGGCTTCTGTCTGCTGAAGATTCATTGCAAGCACAAGGAGAGATCTCCGCTGACGTAGAGGAAGTTAAAGAACAGTTTCACACTCATGAGGTATGAATGAACAATGTCTATTTCAATAATTAACCCCAAAACATCACCATATGCTATTCATTTTTCTATGGTTACAGTATATGAAACTAAAAATGTAACATTTGAATTATATATTTATTTCATTTGTTTCCTTTTTACAAAACACTTAAATCAGATTGTTAATGTCTAAAAACTGGTTTATTCAATAAAAACTGGAATTTTAATGTAATTTGTAAAATATTCATAGGAGTATTTTTTTTCTGTTTTGGTAATCATTGTTATAATGATTTTCCAAGGGTTTTATGATGGAATTAACTGCTCACCAGGGATGTGTTGGTGACATTTTGCAAGCAGGCAGCCAACTTTTGGGAACATTTGGAAAACTTTCAGAAGATGAAGAAAATGAAATACAAGAACAAATGAATATTCTAAATTCACGCTGGGAAAATCTAAGAGTCAGAAGTATGGAAAGACAGAACAAGTAAGTGAATATAAATTTGGATTATCAATACTGGTTGAAATTATTGTTATAGTATAGCATGTCAAAATAATGTGTGTTTTTAATACAAATATATGAATATCAAACCTTATCAAACCATTCCTCACCATTCATTCAGCTTCTTGGATGAGAAGATTTCCAGCTGACATCTCTACGATACCAGATGCAGTGAAACGGACCTCTCCATTCCTGCTCTGGTTTTCCCTGTTTGTGGGCTCCTATAGAAGCCTAAACCTCCCTGGAGGGGAGGCGAAGCTAAGGGGGGGTGTTCTGTGAGGCCACAGGAGAGATCGCAATCTCCTGTTGAATCTTAGAGCTTTTTCCCTCTACACCACAACAAAGAGAAGAGATGGCCAAGATAGCCACCATGAAGTTGGGACAGCCATGGAACATCTCAGAATAGTGCTGGAGCGAAGTTGGTGAACAGTGTTTGGAACTGAGTGAGAAGAATTTTTTTTAATTCAAGTCTTTAAACCCCAAAAAGAATCTGGAAAAGGATTCACAATTATCTTTAACCTAGGAACGACCTGGAACATTGAAAAAAACATTAAAACTGGAGGAGGAACTAGAGGGAAAAAGAAAGAAAAAAATGCTAAAAATATAGAAAATTGGACTTCTAAACTGAACAGGCATTTTGAAACGCTGAAAGTATTTACCCAAAAATTAACACCATCTTTGTGTTGTGGAAAAAAGGGGGAAATGGCTTAATATTGAAATTTAAATAAAGAGCGCCACCTGCTGATGAAAGAACGAATAGCATATTCCCAAAACATTGTTTATTGGAGAATTAAATGCTTTTTGCCAATTAAATGGAACTATAGTGGGGGGGGGGGGAGCCAGCCAGGTTTGCCACAGAACCATTGAAAATAAGACTAGGGAACCATAGTCAGATGCTCACATTCATTGTAGCACCAGGAATGGAAGTGCCACTAGTCCTACGACTCACGTGGCTACAGAAATGGAATCCAAAAATAAACTGGAAGAGAGGAAATGTACATTTCCAGAAACATGTACCATTTGCAAACTGCCCAGAGAAAAGGAATAGAGAACAGAGAACCAGCCATGGCCAGTCAGCCAGCTGAACCCATTAACATCCCCAACAAATACCAGGATTTAGCCCAAGCATTTAGCGAGGAGGCTTCTGATGAACTCCCACCCCATCATGGCACAGACTACGCCATTGAAATCCTACCAGGGGCTAAACTTCCAAAACCGGAAATGTACTGCATATCCCCCAGAGAACTAAAAGAACTCAGAGCATTTATCGATAAAAATCTAAAAAGGGGATTCATCGAACCTACCCGACCAAAAATAGCAGCCCCAGTATTATTCCGCGAAAAGAAAGATGGCTCTTTGTGTCTATGTGTGAATTACCAAAACCTAAATGCCATCTGTGTGGAGAATATGTACCCACTCCCCTCATGAATGACATGTTAGCCCACCTCTCTAAAGGAATTTTTTTTTCAAAGTTAGACCTATGAGAGGCATACTACCGCATTAGAATAAGGGAAGGGGATGAGTGGAAAATGGCTTTTAACATCCCACTGGGTTGCTACCAATTTAAAGTGCTCCTTTTTGGATTACAAGGAGCCCCTGCTGTATTCATGCAATTAATTAATGAGACCCTCCATGAATTTTTGTACAAAGGAGTTCTCGTTTATCTCAATTATATTTTAATCTACACTGAGACAAAAGAAGAACACACCAAATTACTTCATGCAGTCCTTACAAAAGTCCTAAACACCAAACTATATGCAAAACTCTCTAAATGTGAATTCCATCAGGAAAAAATTGATTACCTGGGATATAGAATATCCCATGAGGGAATAGAGATAGACACACAAAAAGTAAAAGCTGTCATTGATTGGGAGACATCCCATACTCGCAAACAACTGCAAAGCTTCCTGGGTTTTGCAAACTTTTACCGCCAGTTCATTCCAGCTTTTGCGAATATCATCCTCCCCACCACAAGTTTGTTAAAAACGAAAGGGGGGGGGGGGGAGATGCCAAAGCCAAAGTAACCCCTTACTTGGATGATGGAATGTCAAGTGGCATTCAAAAACATTAAACAACTGTTCTCAGCAGAACCAATCCTGAAACACCCAGACCCTGAACAAGCATTTGTCATCCAAGCAGATGCTTGCGATGTAGCAGTTGGACCAGTTCTATTCCAAAAGAATGGACATGGACAGCTACAACCATGTGCTTATACTTCCAAGAAACTGACAGAAACCGAGCAAAGATGGGCCATATGGGAGAAAGGGGCATATGCTGTGCGATGGGCACATTCTCAGTGGAGACATTTCCTGGAAGGAAACCAAATCCCCTTTGAAGTCTGGACTGATCATAAAAATCTAGAAGCCCTGAAAACTCCACGGAAACTCTCAGAAAAACAAGCAAGGTGAACTCAATATTTTAAACGGTTTAATTTCATTCTCAAATATTTCCCAAGGAGGAAACATTTCTTGGCAGATACCCTGTCCAGGAAACCCCAATACAGCAGCAAAAAGATTGAAGTTATAAAACCCATGATCCAACCAACCCAACTTGCAGCCAAAGTAATCACTTGGGCACAAGGGAAGAAAGAATCACTGACTGACAATGTAACAACTTCAATATTTAAGGAGGCACTACTTAAGGATGACTGGCTCCAGCCTAACAAAAACACTTGCTTCCTCAAAGATGGTCTAGCCTGGGTAGGAAACAAACTTTACGTCCCTGCCAGCCAGAGGATGGACCTCATGAAACCTTGCCACAATTCAAAAATAGCAGGACACTTTGGTTTTGTAAAAACCTTGCACTTCATCAAAAGACCATTTTGGTGGCCATCTCTCAAAAAGGTCATTGAAAGCTATGTTGCCAGTTGCCCCATCTGTACTGCCGCAAAAAGAAGACAAGGAAAATCTCCTGGACTTTTACAAACAGTGGCAGAACCTTCAGCACCCTGTAAAGAGATCTCTGTGGACTTTATAGTGGAGCTCCCTGAAAGTGCGGGGAATACTGTCATTTGGGTTGTAACTGATCTTTTTTCAAAACAGGTTCATTTTTTACCATGCCAGAAGATCCCAACAGCCAAGGCCTTGGCAAAGATGTTTTTAATACACATTTATTGCCTTCATGGAGCTCCCCAAAAGATTATCTCGGATGGGGTGTACAATTCACATCCACATATTGGCAGGCATTTTTAAACCTATTAGGCTCCACCCCGGGGTTGTCATCGTCAAATCATCGTCAGACTAATGGCGGGGCTGAGAGATCGAACAGCGTATTAGAACAATATTTAAGATGCTTTATTAATTACCAACAGGACAATTGGACTGACCGCCTTCCTTTTGCAGAGGTAGCATACAACAACTCGGTCCACAGCAGCACTGGTTTCACCCCATTCCAGGTAGCCACGGGCCAAGAATTCAACCCCATGCCGGAACTACCCACCAAGGAACCCAAAATTTCCTCTCTTAAGGGGTGGATTAATAATTTGCAGGCCATTTGGCCAGTGGTCAGTCTAGCCCTACAAAAGGCTAGAGCATCTTTTAAAGCTCAAGAGGAGAAAAAACTCTGCGATCCTAAACCATTCAAAATTGGGGACGGTGTATATTTGTCCACAAAATTCCTAAAATCGTTGCAACCCTCTAAGAAACTGGGACTAAAATTCATTGGGTCATTTCCCATCTCGAGAATTATTAACCCTATTACGGTAGAGCTTCTACTTCCCAAAACACTTAGACAGGTTTCACTGTAGCCTACTCAAACCAGAGATCACTTCAAACCTTAGCCCCCCCCCCCCCCTTGCCACACCTCCAACTCCCATTATGGTACACGGGAACAACATTTTGAAATTAAAGAGATCCTTGATCGCGCACTCACCCTGGTTCCACACAATATTTAGTAGCTTGGAAATACCTTCCTTCCTCAGAAAATTAGTGGGTAGCCAAACGACATGTAAAAGCACCCACATTACTATGGAAGTTTCACCTGAAATACCCTCACAAACCATCCTAAGTTGTAAATGGAACACATGTCTTATGTTTTCCAGGTAGATTTATCAAATTTTTGAGGAGGGCAAGATGTCAGATCTGTGTATCTGCCATTCTTCAATGGAAGAAGAAAGGGGGGGGGAGTTAGTACAATTAATCCTTTTTGATGTAACCTGAATATATTAAATCCTATATTGATTCTGTATAACTTGCTTACTATATACAACTGGAGGAGTGGAGCCAGATGTCCAGAAACTTGTCACCTCTTGAAGAAATAACAAGATGAGAAGGAACCATAAAAATTCCAGCTCTGGAAGACACTCCTGGAAATTCTACTAAGATACATTCCCAGAGAAGGGGAGGGGGGAATTAACTTGTTGGTTCTTTGTTTGACTAAATCCACATCTGAATAAGGGGAGGGATTTTAACTTCCTTTATCTATGACTGTATGCCTGGGGATATCTTAGACTCTGCTTTGCCTAGTGTTGAGATAAAATCCCTTTCAGTAAAAGATTCCTTTTGAAACACCTGGTCTTCAGAAGTTCATTCTTTTCGGTTGAAGGGGAAAAGTCCAATGCTTACACTGATACTATTGTGATCTGAAAAATATGTTCCATGTATACACTTATGCCCACAGAAGATCCAAACTATATATGTACCAAATGTAAACTGATCAAATTATAGAAAAAATAAATAAAGGATCTAGACTCTAGAGGAAACATTGGAAGTGTTAAATAGAAATATTAGACAAGACATAGAAATTAAAGATATGGAAATAAAAATTCAGTCTTTTTCTGGGCCCATAATCTGTTCAGTGTATTGCAGCATAAATTCAGCACCAGAAAAGTAAACGCAGATGGGTGAGGCTTCATTTAACTTCTTTATAAACACATAAAGTAAATTTTACAATATCAGTTGCACATTTCTCCAACATGAAGCAAACTCAAACAGAAGCAGACATGTTACAGGTTCAGAGCAGAACAGCAATTCAGGAGCTCAGAAACA